TGTACTATACGTTACTACAGATATACTACAGTGTGGTATAGTGGGACCATAATATGGTACAGGTGGCTATGGTACACTACAGTCATACTGTTCTGTACTACAAAATATTATATTCTACAATACTTTACTACAAATATACTGTAATATATACTAGTACTTTTTTTTTATAAGGTTAATGTCTGAAATCTTTCACTGCATGAGTGTTTTAATCAAGTTTTTTATCAATATTAAAACTTGAATTACTACAATTGCCTGGAAAACTAGTCAATCACCAAATAATACAAACAGAGAAAAATAGTTTGTGAAAAACTATAGTAAATGGAGCAATCTATCAGAAGACTTGAAAATAGAGAAATTAGTTTTGACACATTCGTGCATCCTTTTCAGTCTCATTGTCTTCTGGCAGGAAAACTGGTCAAAATGTATATGTAAGCCTGAAACATTAATTATGGTAATGAAATAGGAGGTCAGAAAGCTGTTTAGCTTAAAATGACCTTTGTAGATGTAGAAATTAAGCAGGCTTTTAATTATTTTTTCCTTTTATCTAGTGATCAGCTTTGTATAAAATACTTGTTGATTTACAATTGATTTGATGATCAGAATCTCTCATATGAAGAAAAATGGAATTGTTTGTTTTTTAATGTCTTCTTTTATGTTAGAAACTTTTTTGAGGAAAATGTATCTTTCAGACTCTGTGATGTCAAGCAATTTACCTCAACTGCCCTGTGTGAAAATGTTCAGTATTGTTACTTTTATTCAGTAAGATTAGTTTTTTTATGCACGTTTGTTTCTCCTGATTTATCATATATATCAAAACTAATTTAAAATATTTATTTGTATTATCTAAATGAATTCTAGCAGTTGTTTTTTCTCTTAAAAAATTAGTGTATATATATATATATACCACTTTACAAAAAACAAATTAATGCTTCAACTTAGGGTGGTTTTACTTCATACATGTGATATGAAAATGTATATCAGGTCGATAGCCTTACTTTGAACTGTACATTAAGTGACTTTATCATTTCAGGAAGTATTTAAGTTTTAGCTGATTATTTACAATTCATTTGTAGATGTAACTTTTTTTTTAACTTGAATTTTAGTTTGCATTCACTATTAAAGAGTCTTGAAATTTCTTTAACCATTTACCAGAGTGAATGTGTATTCGTAGTGGTTCTCAAACTTTGTTAAGTAGTGGCCCATCTTTCCTCTTATATGTGCTACTTAGTGACCTCATCCATACACACACATACCTACATGTACTAGTGAAAACAATCCAATGTGTCATTGTCACTAAATATTAAAAATTATAGTTTAATAAACACATTAAAATATAAAGTAATGTATATTTTATGTGAAATACTGCTCATCTATTAGTGAAAAGGGTGTACCCATTTATTGGAGCAGAGTTCAACAAACATGCTTGGAAGTATATATAAAAATGTACATTTTATGTGAGATATGCTTACCCGTTAGTGAGAAGGGCTTATTGGAGTTGGGACAGTGCCATCCAGGAATATCATAAATAACATACATATTATGTGAGCTAAAAAGGCACCAGTCAGACACACAAGTTCTGTTATGCTAAGAAGCACCGGCAGTAAAGTTTGATTTATTTTATACTGGCAAATAGAGAAGTGTGTAGTTTGTGTGAACCTTCTCCCTATCTCAGGATACATTTCATGCACCTCTTTGAGGGGTACCCTACCAGTTTGAGAACTACTGTACGATTGTATTCAATATTGAAATGATAGCAGTTATCTCAATTTCAAAATGAAACATTTGTTCTTGAAAATAAATGTACCAGAAGTTAGATGGACTAATGTTTAATGTACAAATTTCTGTTTTTCTTTCAAGATTTTGAAAAATGCAGCAGTAGAACCACAAGACCAGGTTGAACTAGATTTTGACAGCTTACTTCTCGACGAAATAGATATATCACCTTGTTCTATAGAACCACCAAAAGAGAAGCCTCCTCCTCCCCCAGTTGACTCTGAACTATTGGATGCTGATGTACATGTAGGTTTAGTAATTCACAAGTGTAGAACTCAAAACATATATTTGATGGCTGGAGGCAAAACTTTTATATGTATACATGTATGTGTAACCCCACTTGCAATTAACACACTCAATACAGGCTCGGTCAATTTGACCGACCACACGACCTTTTTGTGCTGGTTTAAAGACTTTATAGATTTAATACTTATAACTCTCAATATAGTGTGTATATCTCCATGAAATTTGGCAGTCTTTCAGTGAATGTGACAAGTTTTTCACATACAAAAAAAAATCATATTTTTTAGTGAAGAATTTTAAATAAAATAAAATAAAGATTTGTGCATTAATATATTGAGTATTGGTTTTGAATAGTCTGTGTGAAAAGTAATTTTCATGTTAAAATTAAGAATACTTTTTCTCATCTCAAAAATCTCAAATTCCTTTGTGTAATCCCTAAAACCTCCTAAATGCATTTCAAATGTTTTTGTTTTTTTTCAGTAAAACTTTATAGTTTATCTGTTATTTTCTCTACCATATCTCAAAATGGGATTGGTCAATTCAACTGATCCCGTAACCACCAAAAAATATTTTTTTTCTTTCTAGAATGAGTAAGTTTTAACATGAAACTACATTCGTTTATTCTAAGTAGTTCTAAGTTCGTAGCAGTATACCTTTATTTATAATTAAACTTTATTGTTTTATTGCCCTTTGAACCATGTCTAACTACTATCCGTGCCATTATAAGTTGTAAATCACTTGGGGAATGTGTAGCTCACGTTACGCTATCGAATTACATTACCCATGAGCTTCCCTCATGAACCATTTTAATTTTATTATTATTATTATTATTACTTATTTTACCTAATCTAGTCTTAAATAACTGAAAAAGATCCAGGTTTTGAAAATTTAGGTACTTTTATAATAATAAATAAAGAATAAATATGAAAAACAAGAAATAAAGTACTTATCCAATCTTCTTTTTTTCTTGCCCTCAACTGTCAAGGACAGTTAAGCCTGATTTTTTATAGTAATGCACTAAAGAATATAGAGTAATAACATGTAAAAATTAGATAAATTTCCTTACCTCTCACAATTTTTCTGCTTTCTAACTTTGCGACAAGAGCCATTACAACTTCATCCAAGCTAGTCTGATTTTCTATATGACAGCTCTGTAACCAAACAAAATTGAAGACTATAAAAATTATGGTTTGTTTCAGCAATAAAAATTTTAGAGAGAGTATTTTAATTTTAATTTCATACTTTTTCAAGGGGTGATGGATAAATTAGGGATGATGACATGCTAAGAGAAAATGTGTCACGTGGGTCACACTAGTGGAAATTCAGGATTTTTTTAAATATTGCCTTGTAGAATTAAGAACTTAAAACTTATATACAATTAAAATATGGATTATTAGCCAAGATTTTATGCTATTGTAATTGGCATAACATATATAAAAAGTAGCTTGATAAAAGTTTGAATGTAAGACACTAAAATCTTGTGTCATGCGCAGTAAAGGGTACCCAGGGCGATAGGGTTAAAGTGCCAGTGTGTGGCTGGATTTAAAGAACAATTCTGAAAAGTTAAATGTCTAGGAATCTGACTTACTAGTTAACTCAT